GTATTCAAGCCACTGCAAGGAAATCCGGCCTCCTTTCAAGTTAGGGCTTCTCCCTGTATATTCCCCTTGAGCAGCTAAGTCGGGGTCCCTCCCACATACCTATTACTGAGAGAAGCCTCCTCCTGAGGTGCGTCTGGAAAGTTGGCATACGTCTTGAGCCTAAGCCAGGGAATCACCTCTCATCTCGAGACGATTTGGGGTACACGGAGCATTCCTCGAGTTGCTGTGCTGAAGTTGGTGTTCCTCTAGACTTCGGACAGTGTTCTCGGGGTATCTCTGGAGTTGCCTGAAGGAAGTCGAGCCACCGGTCGTGTTGAATGGGGAACGGGGAATGGCTCTGGAGTCAATGCAGGGGAATCGGGCCTCATCTCGAGTTGATTTGGGGCACATGGAGCTGCTTTGCGTTGCTGGGGTGACCTCAGCGTCCGTCGAGGCTGGTGACAGTGTTCTTGGGGACTCTCTCGAGATCCATTAAGCAAGTCGAAGCTCCTGACTTGTTTGAATGGGACCACAGAATAGCTCTGCATGCACTGCAGGGGAATGGGGCCTCATCTCGCCTCTAGGGGGAAGTCTCATGGTTTTTCTCGAGTTGCGGCGGGGACCTGGGGTATGTTCTCGACTTACGGCGGGGATGGCCCTTCAAAACACGAGTTTCTTCAGTGACGTCAGGACTCCTGTCTAGTAACGAGGGACACCTAAGGAATCTCTTCGAGGCTTGGCAGGGCCAAAGGAACGCTTCTCGAGGTGAGGCAGGGCACCCAAGGACCCTTTCCAGTAGCCACAGGGATTTTGGGATTCCTATCAGTATTCAAGAGGAGTCAGGCATCGTCACCTTTTGAAGCAATGAACTCCGCGTGCCTCTCGAGGTGTCAACGGGATGTGAGGCATTACGTCCAAATGAGGCAGGGACCTAGGGATTTCTCTAAGGTCTCCTCAGGGGATTCAGACATCCCTTCATGTTGTGAGATCAAAGACGAGCCTGTATTCAAGCCACTGCAAGGAAATCCGGCCTCCTTTCAAGGTAGGGCTTCTCGCTGTATATTGCCCTTGAGGCAGTGAACTCGGGGTCCCTCCCACATACCTATTGCTGAGAGAAGCCTCCTCCTGAGGTGCGTCTTGAAAGTTGGCATACGTCTTGAGCCTAAGCCAGGGAATCACCTCTCATCTCGAGACGATTTGGGGTACACGGAGAATTCCTCGAGTTGCCGTGCTGAAGTTGGTGTTCCTCTAGACTTGGGACAGTGTTCTCGGGGCATCTCTGGAGTTGCCTGAAGGAAGTCGAGCCACCGGTCGTGTTGAATGGGGAACGGGGAATGGCTCTGGAGTCAATGCAGGGGAATCGGGCCTCATCTCGAGTTGATTTGGGGCACATGGAGCTGCTTTGCGTTGCTGGGGTGACCTCAGGGTCCGTCGAGACTGGTGACAGTGTTCTTGGGGACTGTCTCGAGATCCATTAAGCAAGTCGAAGCTCCTGACTTGTTTGAATGATACCACGGAATAGCTCTGCATGCACTGCAGGGGAATGGGGCCTCATCTCGCCTCTAGGGGGAAGTCTCATGGTTTTTCTCGAGTTGTGGCGGGGATCTCGGGTATGTTCTCGACTTACGGCGGGGATGGCCCTTCAAAACACGAGTTTCTTCAGTGACGTCAGGACTCCTGTCTAGTAACGAGGGACCCCTCAGGAATCTCATCGAGGCTTGGCAGTGCAAAAGGGATGCTTCTCGAGGTGAGGCAGGGCACCCAAGCCACTTTCCAGTAGCCACAGGGATTTTGGGATTGCTATCAGAATTCAAGAGGAGTCAGGCATCGTCACCTTTTGAAGCAATGAACTCTGCGTGCCCCTCAAGGTGTCAACGGGATGTGAGGCATTCTGTCCAAATGAGGCAGGGACCTAGGGCTTTCGCTAAGGTCTCACAGGGGATTCAGACATCCCTTCATGTTGTGACAGCAAAGACGAGCCTGTATTCAAGCCACTGCAAGAAATCCGGCCTCCTTTCAAGTTAGGGCTTCTCGCTGTATATTTCCCTTGAGCAGCGAACTCGGGGTCCTTCCCACATACCTATTGCTGAGAGAAGCCTCCTCCTGAGGTGCGCCTGGAAAGTTGGCAAACGTCTTGAGCATAAGCCACTGAATCAGCTCTCATCTCGAGATGATTTGGGGTACACAGAGCATTCCTCGTGTTGCTGTGCTGAAGTTGGTGTTCCTCTAGACTTGGGACAGTGTTCTCGGGGCATCTCTGGAGTTGCCTGAAGTAAGTCGAGCCATCGGTCGTGTTGAATGGGGAACGGGGAATGGCTCTGGAGTCAATGCAGGGGAATCGGGCCTCATCTCGAGTTGATTTGGGGCCCATGGAGCTGCTTTGCGTTGCTGGGGTGACCTCAGGGTCCGTCGAGACTGGTGACAGTGTTCTTGGGGACTGTCTCGAGATCCATTAAACAAGTTGAAGCTCCTGACTTGTTTGAATGGGACCACGGAATAGCTCTGCATGCACTGCAGGGGAATGGGGCCTCATCTAGCCTCTAGGGGGAAGTCTCATGGTTTTTCTCGAGTTGCGGCGGGGACCTGGGGTATGTTCTCGTCTTACGGCGGGGATGGCCCTTCAAAACACGAGTTTCTTCAGTGACGTCAGGACTCCTGTCTAGTAACGAGGGACACCTCAGGAATCTCTTCGAGGCTTGGCAGGGCAAAAGGGACGCTTCTCGAGGTGAGGCAGGGCACCCAAGGACCCTTTCCAGTAGCCACAGGGATTTTGGGATTCCTATCAGTATTCAAGAGAAGTCAGGCATTGTCACCTTTTGAAGCAATGAAATTCGCGTGCCTCTTGAGGTGTCAACGGGATGTGAGGCATTCCGTCCAAATGAGGCAGGGACCTAGGGCTTTCTCTAAGGTCTCCACAGGGGATTCAGACATCCCTTCATGTTGTGAGATCAAAGACGAGCCTGTATTCAAGCCACTGCAAGGAAATCCGACCTCCTTTCTAGTTAGGGCTTCTCGCTCTGTATTGCCCTTGAGGCAGCGAACTCGGGGTCCCTCCCACATACCTATTGCTGAGAGAAGCCTCCTCCTGAGGTGCTTCTGGAAAGTTGGCAAACGTCTTGAGCCTAAGCCAGGGTATCAGCTCTCATCTCGAGACGATTTGGGGTACACGGAGCATTCCTCGAGTTGCTGTGCTGAAGTTGGTATTCCTCTAGACTTGGGACAGTGTTCTCGGGGCATCTCTGGAGTTGCGTGAATGAAGTCGAGCCACCAGTCATCTTGAATGGGGAACGGGGAAAAGCTCTGGAGTCAATGCAGGGGAATCGGGCCTCATCTCGAGTTGATTTGGGGCACATGGAGCTGCTTTGCGTTGCTGGGGTGACCTCAGGGTCCGTCGAGACTGGTGACAGTGTTCTTGGGGACTTTCTCGAGATCCATTAAGCAAGTCGAAGCTCCTGACTTGTTTGAATGGGACCACGGAATAGCACTGCATGCACTGCAGGGGAATGGGGCCTCATCTCGCCTCTAGGGTAAGTCTCATGGTTTTTCTCGAGTTGCGGCGGGGATCTTGGGTATGTTCTCGACTTACGGCGGCGATGGCCCTTCATAACACGAGTTTCGTCAGTGACGTCAGGAGTCCTGTGTAGTAACGAGGGACACCTCAGGAATCTCATCGAGGTTTGGCAGTGCAAAAGGGATGCTTCTCGAGGTGAGGCAGGGCACCCAAGCCACTTTCCAGTAGCCACAGGGATTTTGGGATTCCTATCAGAATTCAAGAGGAGTCAGGCATCGTCACCTTTTGAAGCAATGAACTCTGCGTGCCCCTCAAGGTGTCAACGGGATGTGAGGCATTCTGTCCAAATGAGGCAGGGACCTAGGGCTTTCGCTAAGGTCTTACAGGGGATTCAGACATCCCTTCATGTTGTGAGAGCAAAGACGAGCCTGTATTCAAGCCACTGCAAGAAATCCGGCCTCCTTTCAAGTTAGGGCTTCTCGCTGTATATTGCCCTTGAGGCAGCGACCTCGGGGTCCCTCCCACATACCTATTGCTGAGAGAAGCCTCCTCCTGAGGTGCGTCTTGAAAGTTGGCATACGTCTTGAGCCTAAGCCAGGGAATCACCTCTCATCTCGAGACGATTTGGGGTACACGGAGAATTCCTCGAGTTGCCGTGCTGAAGTTGGTGTTCCTCTAGACTTGGGACAGTGTTCTCGGGGCATCTCTGGAGTTGCCTGAAGTAAGTCGAGCCATCGGCCGTGTTGAATGGGGAACGGGGAATGGCTCTGGAGTCAATGCAGGGGAATCGGGCCTCATCTCGAGTTGATTTGGGGCCCATGGAGCTGCTTTGCGTTGCTGGGGTGACCTCAGCGTCCGTCGAGACTGGTGACAGTGTTCTTGGGGACTGTCTCGAGATCCATTAAACAAGTTGAAGCTCCTGACTTGTTTGAATGGGACCACGGAATAGCTCTGCATGCACTGCAGGGGAATGGGGCCTCATCTTGCCTCTAGGGGGAAGTCTCATGGTTTTTCTCGAGTTGCGGCGGGGACCTGGGGTATGTTCTCGTCTTACGGCGGGGATGGCCCTTCAAAACACGAGTTTCTTCAGTGACGTCACGACTGCTGTCTAGTAACGAGGGACACCTCAGGAATCTCATCGAGGCTTGGCAGTGCAAATGGGACGCTTCTTGAGGTGAGGCAGGGCACCCAAGGACCCTTTCCAGTAGCCACAGTGATTTTGGTATTCCTATCAGAATTCAAGAGGAGTCAGGCATCGTCACCTTTTGAAGCAATGAACTCCGCGTGCCTCTCGAGGTGTCAACGGGATGTGAGGCATTCCGTCCAAATGAGGCAGGGACCTAGGGCTTTCTCTAAGGTCTCCACAGGGGATTCACCATCCCTTCATGTTGTGAGATGAAACACGAGCCTGTATTCAAGCCACTGCAAGGAAATCCGGCCTCCTTTCAAGTTAGGGCTTCTCTCTGTATATTGCCCTTGAGGCAGCGAACTGAGGGTCCCTCCCACATACCTATTGCTGAGAGAAGCCTCCTCCTGAGGTGCGTCTGGAAATTTGGCATACGTCTTGAGCCTAAGCCAGGGAATCAGCTCTCATCTCGAGACGATTTGGGGTACACGGAGCATTCCTCGAGTTGCTGGGCTGAAGTTGGTGTTCTTCTAGACTTGGGACAGTGTTCTCGGGGTATCTCTGGAGTGGCCTGAAGGAAGTCGAGCCACCGGTGGTGTTGAATGGGGAACGGGGAATGGCTCTGGAGTCAATGCAGGGGAATCGGGCCTCATCTCGAGTTGATTTGGGGCACATGGAGCTGCTTTGCGTTGCTGGGGTGACCTCAGCGTCCGTCGAGACTGGTGACAGTGTTCTTGGGGACTGTCTCGAGATCCATTAAGCAAGTCGAAGCTCCTGACTTGTTTGAATGGGACCACGGAATAGCTCTGCATGCACTGCAGGGGAATGGGGTTCATCTCGCCTCTAGGGGGAAGTCTTATGGTTTTTCTCGAGTTGCGGCGGGGACCTGGGGTATGTTGTCGACTTACGGCGGGGATGGCCTTCAAAACACGAGTGTCTTCAGTGACGTCAGGACTCCTGTCTACTAACGAGGGACACCTCAGGAATCTCTTCGAGGCTTGGCAGGGCAAAAGGGACGCTTCTCGAGGTGAGGCAGGGCACCCAAGGACCCTCTCCAGTAGCCACAGGGATTTTGGGATTCCTATCAGTATTCAAGAGGAGTCTGGCATCGTCACCTTTTGAAGCAATGAACTCCGCGTGCCTCTCGATTTGTCAACGCGATGTGAGGCATTCCGTCAAATGAGGCAGGGTCCTAGGGCTTTCTCTAAGGTCTCCGCAGGGGATTCAGACATCCCTTCATGTTGTGAGATCAAAGACGAGCCGGTATTCAAGCCACTGCAAGGAAATCCGGCCTCCTTTCAAGTTAGGGCTTCTCGCTGTATATTGCCCTTGAGGCAGCGAACTCGGGGTCCCTCACACATACCTATTGCTGAGAGAAGCCTCCTCCTGAGGTGCATCTGGAAAGTTGGCATACGTCTTGAGCCTAAGCCAGGGAATCACCTCTCATCTCGAGACGATTTGGGGTACACGGAGCATTCCTCGAGTTGCCGTGCTGAAGTTGGTGTTCCTCTAGACTTGGGACAGTGTTCTCGGGGCATCTCTGGAGTTGCCTGAAGGAAGTCGAGCCACCGGTCGTGTTGAATGGGGAACGGGGAATGGCTCTGGAGTCAATGCAGGGGAATCGGGCCTCATCTCGAGTTGATTTGGGGCCCACGGAGCTGCTTTGCGTTGCTGGGGTGAGCTCAGGGTCCGTCCAGACTGGTGACAGTGTTCTTGGTGACTGTCTCGAGAACCATTAAGCAAGTCGAAGCTCCTGACTTGCTTGAATGGGACCACGGAATAGCTCTGCATGCACTGCAGGGGAATGGGGCCTCATCTCGACTCTAGGGGGAAGTCTCATGGTTTTTCTCGAGTTGCGGCGGGGACCTGGGGTATGTTCTCGACTTACGGCGGGGATGGCCCTTCAAAACACGAGTTTCTTCAGTGAGGTCAGGACTCCTGTCTAGTAAAGAGGGACACCTCAGTAATCTCTTCGAGGCTTGGCAGGGCAAAAGGGACGCTTCTCGAGGTGAGGCAGGGCACCCAAGGACCCTTTCCAGTAGCCACAGGGATTTTGGTATTCCTATCAGTATTCAAGAGGAGTGAGGCATTGTCACCTTTTGAAGCAATGAACTTCGCGTGCCTCTTGAGATGTCAACGGGATGTGAGGCATTCCGTGAAAATGAGGCAGGGACCTAGGGCTTTCTCTCAGGTCTCCACAGGGGATTCAGACAACCCTTCATGTTGTGAGATGAAAGACGAGCCTGTACTCAAGCCACTGCAAGGAAATCCGGCCTCCTTTCAAGTTAGGGCTTCTCGCTCTATATTGCCCTTGAGGCAGCGAACTCGGGGTCCCTCCCACATACCTATTGCTGAGAGAAGCCTCCTCCTGAGGTGCGTCTTGAAAGTTGGCATACGTCTTGAGCCTAAGCCAGGGAATCACCTCTCATCTTGAGACGATTTGTGGTACACGGAGCATTCCTCGAGTTGCCGTGCTGAAGTTGGTGTTCCTCTAGACTTGGGACAGTGTTCTCGGGGCATCTCTGGAGTTGCTGAAGGAAGTCGAGCCACCGGTCGTGCTGAATGGGGAACGGGGAATGGCTCTGGAGTCAATGCAGGGGAATCGGGCCTCATCTCGAGTTGATTTGGGGCCCATGGAGCTGCTTTGTGTTGCTGGGGTGACCTCAGGGTCCGTCGAGACTGGTGACAGAGTTCTTGGGGACTGTCTCGAGATCCATTAAGCAAGTCGAAGCTCCTGACTTGCTTGAATGGGACCACGGAATAGCTCTGCATGCACTGCAGGGGAATGGGGCCTCATCTCGCCTCTAGGGGGAAGTCTCATGGTTTTTCTCGAGTTGCGGCGGGGACCTGGGGTATGTTCTCGACTTACGGCGGGGATGGCCCTTCAAAACACGAGTTTCTTCAGTGACGTCAGGACTCCTGTCTAGTAACGAGGGACACCTCAGGAATCACTTCGAGGCTTGGCAGGGCAAAAGGGACGCTTCTGGAGGTGAGGCAGGGCACCCAAGGACCCTTTCCAGTAGCCACAGGGATTTTGGGATTCCTATCAGTATTCAAGAGGAGTCAGGCATCGTCACCTTTTGAAGCAATGAACTCCGCGTGCCTCTCGAGGTGTCAACGGGATGTGAGGCATTACGTCCAAATGAGGCAGGGACCTAGGGCTTTCTCTAAGGTCTCCACAGGGGATTCAGACATCCCTTCATGTCGTGAGATGAAAGACGAGCCTGTATTCAAGCCACTGCAAGGAAATCCGGCCTCCTTTCAAGTTAGGGCTTCTCGCTGTATATTGCCCTTGAGGCAGCGAACTCGGGGTCCCTCCCACATAACTATTGCTGAGAGAAGCCTCCTCCTGAGGTGCGTCTGGAAAGTTGGCATACGTCTTGAGCCTAAGCCACTGAATCAGCTCTCATCTCGAGATGATTTGGGGTACATGGAGCATTCCTCGAGTTGCTGTACTGAAGTTGGTGTTCCTCTAGACTTGGGACAGTGTTCTCGGGGCATCTCTGGAGTTGCCTGAAGGAAGTCGAGCCACCGGTCGTGTTGAATGGGGAACGGGGAATGGCTCTGGAGTCAATGCAGGGGAATCGGGCCTCATCTCGAGTTGATTTGGGGCCCATGGAGCTGCTTTGCGTTGCTGGGGTGACCTCAGGGTCCGTCGAGACTGGTGACAGTGTTCTTGGGGACTGTCTCGAGAACCATTAAGCAAGTCGAAGCTCCTGACTTGCTTGAATGGGACCACGGAATAGCTCTGCATGCACTGCAGGGGAATGGGGCCTCATCTCGACTCTAGGGGGAAGTCTCATGGTTTTTCTCGAGTTGCGGCGGGGACCTGGGGTATGTTCTCGACTTACGGCGGGGATGGCCCTTCAAAACACGAGTTTCTTCAGTGACGTCAGGACTCCTGTCTAGTAAAGAGGGACACCTCAGTAATCTCTTCGAGGCTTGGCAGGGCAAAAGGGACGCTTCTCGAGGTGAGGCAGGGCTCCCAAGGACCCTTTCCAGTAGCCACAGGGATTTTGGTATTCCTATCAGTATTCAAGAGGAGTGAGGCATTGTCACCTTTTGAAGCAATGAACTTCGCGTGCCTCTTGAGATGTCAACGGGATGTGAGGCATTCCGTGAAAATGAGGCAGGGACCTAGGGCTTTCTCTCAGGTCTCCACAGGGGATTCAGACAACCCTTCATGTTGTGAGATGAAAGACGAGCCTGTACTCAAGCCACTGCAAGGAAATCCGGCCTCCTTTCAAGTTAGGGCTTCTCGCTCTATATTGCCCTTGAGGCAGCGAACTCGGGGTCCCTCCCACATACCTATTGCTGAGAGAAGCCTCCTCCTGAGGTGCGTCTTGAAAGTTGGCATACGTCTTGAGCCTAAGCCAGGGAATCACCTCTCATCTCGAGACGATTTGGGGTACACGGAGCATTCCTCGAGTTGCCGTGCTGAAGTTGGTGTTCCTCTAGACTTGGGACAGTGTTCTTGGGGCATCTCTGGAGTTGCCTGAAGGAAGTCGAGCCATCGGTCGTGTTGAATGGGGAACGGGGAATGGCTCTGGAGTCAATGCAGGGGAATCGGGCCTCATCTCGAGTTGATTTGGGGCCCATGGAGCTGCTTTGCGTTGCTGGGGTGACCTCAGGGTCCGTCGAGACTGGTGACAGTGTTCTTGGGGACTGTCTCGAGATCCATTAAGCAAGTTGAAGCTCCTGACTTGTTTGAATGGGACCACGGAATAGCTCTGCATGCACTGCAGGGGAATGGGGCCTCATCTCGCCTCTAGGGGGAAGTCTCATGGTTTTTCTCGAGTTGCGGCGGGGACCTGGGGTATGTTTTCGACTTACGGCGGGGATAGCCCTTCAAAACACGAGTTTCTTCAGTGACGTCAGGACTCCTGTCTAGTAACGAGGGACACCTCAGGAATCTCTTCGAGGCTTGGCAGGGCAAAAGGGATGCTTCTCGAGGTGAGGCAGGCACCCAAGGACCCTTTCCAGTAGCCACAGGGATTTTGGGATTCCTATCAGTATTCAAGAGGTGTCAGGCATTGTCACCTTTTGAAGCAATGAACTTCGCGTGCCTCTTGAGGTGTCAACGGGATGTGAGGCATTCCGTCCAAATGAGGCAGGGACCTAGGGCTTTCTCTAAGGTCTCCACAGGGGATTCAGACATCCCTTCATGTTGTGAGATCAAAGACGAGCCTGTATTCAAGCCACTGCAAGGAAATCCGGCATCCTTTCAAGTTAGGGCTTCTCGCTGTATATTCACCTTGAGGGAGCGAACTCGGGGTCCCTCCCACATAATTATTGCTGAGAGAAGCCTCCTCCTGAGGAGCTTCTGGAAAGTTGGCATATGTCTTGAGCCTAAGCCAGGGAATCAGCTCTCATCTCTCATCTCGAGAAGATTTGGGGTACATGGAGCATTCCTCGAGTTGCTGTGCTGAAGTTGGTGTTCCTCT